CGATTTATCCGGTGCCCGCGCCACCCTCTGCGGAGATCGTGCGTGTCGAGTGCGCGAAACGCAGGCGAGAGTGCGATTTGTCCGGTGCCCGCGCAACCCTCTGCGGAGATCGTGCGTGTCGAGCGCGCGAAACGCAGGCGAGCACTGTCGACTTTGTAGTACAACTTTAGTACGCGGAGTCTCTGGGGAGCTGGAAGATGAGAACTGGTGACTTGGTAGTACAACTTTAGTACGCGGAGCAATCTGTGGAGCTGGAAGCTGAGAACTGGCGACTTTGTTTCAACTTTAGTACGCGGAGCAATCTGTGGAGCTGGAAGCTGAGAACTGGCGACCTTGTAGTACATCTTTAGTACGCGGAGTATCTGGGGAGCTGGAAGAGTGTCCCACAAGAGTGTCCCGCAAGAGTGTCCCGCAACAGTGTTATAGTAGAGTGTCTCACAAGAGTGTCCTACAGGAGTATCCCACAAGAGTGTCCCACAAGAGCGTCCCACAAGAGTGTCCCACAAGAGTGTCCTAAAAGACTGTCCCACAACAGTGTCCTACAAGAGTGTCCCACAAGAGTGTCCCACAGAGGGTCCCCCACAAGAGTGTCCCACAAGAGTTTCCTACAAGAGTGACCCACAAGAGTGTCCTACAAGAGTGTCCTACAAGAGTGTCCCACAAGAGTGTCCCACAAGAGTGTCCTACAAGAGTGTCCCACAAGATTTTCCTACAAGAGTGTCCCACAAGAGTGTCCCACAAGAGTGTCCCACAAGAGTGTCCCACAAGAGTGTCCCACAAGAGTGTCCCACAAGAGTGTCCCACAAGAGTGTCCCACAAGAGTGTCCCGCAACAGTGTCGCTCAAGAGTGTTTCACAAGAGTGTCCCACAAGCGTGTCCCACAAGAGTATCCCACAAGAGTGTCCTACAAGAGTGTCCCACAAGAGTGTCCCACAAGAGTGTCCCACAAGAGTGTCCTACAAGAGTGTCCCACAAGATTTTCCTACAAGAGTGTCCCACAAGAGTGTCCCACAAGAGTGTCCTATAAGAGTGTCGTGTAAGAGTGTCCCACAAGAGTGTCCTTCAAGAGTGTCTCACAGGAGTGTCCCACAAGAGTGTCCTACAAGAGTGTCCCACAAGAGTGTCT